GCATGCATATTTTTTTACTATTTATCTATTTTTTCTAATTATATGCGTCAGAACGTTTTTTATAATGCATCAGAGTTATCTGTTTCTATCGTCCGGGAACAATAGAACAGACCTTGGACTAGGCAAAGGGATTTACCGTGGGACATCCGGCGTCAGGACATGTGGCGGGCATCGGTTGGAGCTCGATGCCGGTCTTTTTGTATTCAGGCTTGAGGAGCATCACCGCGTGCTTCGCGGAATTCGCCTGAACCGCAGTTGCGCTCGGGATCCCAGCTGCCTGTTTCAGCGTTCTCTCCGACACGACGCTCGTCCCGACGTCGGACTTGGCCACCAAGGTCATCCTGTGCGTCTCGTAATCGAACACGTGCTCCGGCAGCAGCGACTGTGTCAGCACGTACGTGGAATTGCGATAGCTCTCGAGTCTGACGGCGAACACCGGGTTCGGATGTTTCCTCGGCGGCGGCAACGTGCCGTGCGCGCAGGCAGTTTTTCGTTTCTCGATAACGTTATCTCCGGACGTCACGTAGGCCACGTTGCAGAGGCCGGAGGCGTCCCGTTGGCGCACCTCGTCGTCGAGCGTTCGGTACTGGAAGAGACTAGCTAGACCGCGCTTCAGGTTCGCGGACGACGCGCTCTCGGCCGGGTCCATGTACACGGCCTCGACGTCGCCGTGCCGCCAGAGAATGAAGAAGGGCTTCTCGGCGACCTGTTCTACCTTGGACGAGTGCTCCACGAAGCCCTCCGGTTCCGGGGCTCGTCGGGACTTGATCCATAACTGCGGTGAAAGTAACTGAAAGAGAATATCAGAATATTTATTAAAAGAAAAAAATATTGAGATTTGTTATATATTCGAGAATCGTGAACTCAAATTTCCTGGAATATGTACTTACAAATTGTATATATTAAAATCTATTTCATTAAAAGAGTTTTTAAGTCGCTCTATGAATTAAACTAATATCATGTATAAAATATCTTCTTTATTTTATTGATAATAATTACCTTGCATATTATTTCAACTGTAATATATTTTGCTAATAAGTATGTTTTGCATCAATCAATAATACGTTAAAAAATTTTTTCGATAAATCGATAAATAGACTTTAATAGTTTAATCTTTCGACGTATAGAAATATTATAACGTCAAAAGTTTGCTAATAACTGACTTATCAACAAATTATTTTCAAGGCTTTTTTTAATGATTTTGTAACTCGAGAAACATTTTATCGCTCTTGGATAGAGGGTTATCAATATCCAGTGAAAGGATTATCAATATCCGGCACGTCCTCTCTCAATAATATCAACGAACGTGTTTTTCATCGCATTGAAATCTTCTCGGAAGTTGTGATGATAGGTGTTTTTTGTCTCTTGCATGAAATTTGGCTCAGACATGAAAGAATGAATATGCACATAGTTCGAAACAACTTATCTGGTTTTGAATTCCATCATTAACTGATTGTGACATTTCGCGATTACAGCACGTGCGGAACAAAAATATGTTCATGGTATGTAATAATTAATTTTATTTTAATAATTCTTCTTTTCTGTGCTAAGATACAAGTAATTTTTCGAAAAAAATTAATATAATAATTTATTACGTAAAATTGTCTTATTTATTAATACATTAACTGTAATGAAATAAGCGCGATATAAAATATATTTTGATATATCAAGAGTCTAAATAGATCTTCACAATTAATATAATGTTGTAAGTGAATTTGTATATGCGATTAAATAATTAAATTTGCATTTTAATAAAAAATAGATAACTAGTTTCTTCTTCATTATACATTTACATTTTTTTTTATTTTATAAGTTTGAAGTGGACGTGTGTAAATAATGTTAAGCAAAATTTGCATAACGCAAACTCACTAGAATATGTATCTTTTTAACAACAAACACTTGACGCATTGATATATTAAGACACTTTCACGATTTAATTATTACATTTATTTCTTTTAGAAATTTATTACTTGTTTTTCGAAAGTTATTTATATAATTAATATAGATGTTGCATAGAAAACAGAAACTAATTCTCTCTCTTTATCTGTCTCTAAAATAAAAACTGAAATAAAACAAAGGATGACTTAAACCATTAAAATTATTCGATATTTTCGATATCGTGACAAAGAACCTTATTGAAGACGTTCCGGCTCGCGATGCTTGGTTTGAAAATAACGGACAGAGTGCCATACCTCGAATTTCAGTAAAAAGATATTGGGATCGTTGGAATCCTGCCATAGGGCGGTGATGTCCAGCTCGCCGGTGAGTCGGTAGCCGACGTCACCCCCGGATTTCGGCGGTTCGGCCTCTCTGAAGATAAGCGTGTTCGTCAGCGTGTATTTGTGGCCGCTTCCTAACTCCCAGCCCCTGGTGCCGCCAGCTACGGCTGCAAGTATTACGCATAATTTCCAGTAGTTACTCGTTATCGCGCGACAAATCATCGTGGGTCTTTGAGGTAGATGTGTTGTGTGTGTGTGTGTGCGTGCACGTGTGTGGATGTATGCGTATATGGACCGTACGTTCGACACCGTCACCGATCGCGAGTCGCGCGTCGACTGACAATGACGACGCCAGGCACTCCAGGCAGGCGACGAGGATCGCTCCTCTCTCTCGAGACAGTTTGAGAAGAGACGCACGATACGCACTACGCGTGTGTGTGCACGTGCCTGTGTACCCGAGCGTGTGCCTCTGTGCGTGCATGCGTGTATGTAAACGGAATACCGTTAATTCGCGCGGAGTCCCTGTTACACGACGGGCGAGAATGGGCGTCGCGTGTGATCTTTTTTTTATTTTTTTCCCCCTTTTCTTTCTTTAACGCCTTGAGAGATTGTTGCGTGAAACGATTTGACGAGTTTTTCAAAATCGCTTAAAACGTTTCCTTTTTTAATTGCGTTTCAACGATGAGAATAATTACCTGGCGCTCGACGACAGGAACCTGTTAAAAAAAAAAAAGAATTTCTTTGTACTTTTCATCGAGAAATGAGGGATTATTGTACAGGGTGTTCAATAAAATATGATACTATTCATTTGCCTATCAAGACACATGTCAGTCTTAACATTTTTTTTACGTATGTTTATGCAGTGATTACTGAGGTTGTTATCAGTTTCACTTATCGTGTCTCTAATATAGATGCGGTAGCATAGTTCATCATAAACATATCTTTTTATGTTACGAGGTCCGTTTAATTTTTTAAAAATTCTGTCCAACAGATTCAAAACGTACAGAACAAATAGATTCTTTTTTTAAATTATACAAGCGATAAAAAATTATTCTATATTTCTTGCGTGTCTCTTCGCAAGAGCAGGTGCCGGTCAGCCGGTTGTACTAGAATTTACTGAAGCAGCAGCATCGTACTTCAATGGACCGCCATGTTCCGGCCGGCTCGTACGGCGCATTTTTCAATGAACTACTTTGGGGAGAGACGGGGGGAGACGAGGGGCCACCGTGGGGAATGACCAGGCCCGGGAATGCGGTGGGAGGAGGAGGAAGGGTAGACTCGCGCGGACAGGGTGGGAGTGGAAGCAGAAAAGGCAGGGGGACGACGGTATTAGGAACCGCCGGTAACTCACCGAGGAGCGTCAAAAGGTAGACCAGGCAGACGGCGAGCATCCTGGCCGTGCCCCGAAGACAACCGGCCATCCTATCCTCGCTCCCGCTGTCGTCCTGCGCTGATGCGCCGTGCCGTGCCGCGACGTCCGTTCCGCTCCGTTCCGCTTCTGACCGCGCTTCTTCGCAACCTCTGCGGGTAAACACGAATAATTAGACGGGGCAGGCCTGCGTTATCGTGGTCCCCCCCGGTTCAGAAACCCCTGGGGCCCCCCTCTGCCCCCCGCCGCGGCCGCCGTCGCCGCCGACCGCGAGTCCACTCCGGGGGACTTGACAAGGTCCTTTGCCTGTGCGGTCCCCTCCTCGCCACGCGGGCCGCACACATGTACGCACGCATCCGTAACGAACGCTGGAGGAGAACGAGTATATCGGTGCCCCCCCTGATACTCCGAACCTCGGACTCCTCCGGAGCGCCTGCTGCGGGTTGTAAATCACATACGCGCCGCGCGCGCGGAACGTGTAATATCGCGAGATCGCTTGATGACACATCGTGGAATCAATGACCGTCGCGTAAAAACGCGAGACGTGCGTGGAGAAAAGAGCCCATTACGAGTGCGGAAGCCGCGGCCAATTTGTCCGATCCGGACTGACGAGTGCGCGCTATACCGAGTGTCCCGGCTTCTCGGCGCTTCCCGTGGTCGACATACCGGAAACTATAATTTTTCTTTCTTTCGACGAAAATTTCCTCCGATCCTAGTTTTTGTCCAGATTATTTCCACCTTTCCATTTAAATCTATCCGCGGATACGTCGCGGATGCACCGATTAAAGCGCTCGGCTTGGCGCCGTCTCTTTTTCTAGACACCATGGTCTTACCTACGATATAAAAAAATAAAGAAAACAGAAAAGGAAAATTTACTCACTCTCTTAGCAATATTTTAATACGTTCTATCACCAAGACTGGTTAGTTTGACGAAAAAAAAAAAAAAAAAAACCCTTTTGATAACAAGCTTATTTCGGGTCGACGAGCGTAGAGAGACGTTATCAAGCTCACAGAGCGAGCGGATTAGAATGACAATCCGATGACACTCGCAGCGAGCGTTCGCGTGGCCTGTACTCGGCGGCTAAGCAGAGCGAGCGGATTCCAAAGTGCAACTGGCGCGAGTAAATAACTAAATAACATTTCGATAAGGCGCAGTCCAATCGGAACGGCGAGGACGACGGAACGCGGACCGACCGGAGCGGACTCGAGGCTCGACGCGCGACCGCCGGACGAAATGGAGAACGCGCGAGAGCGAGATAATACGCGTCATGGATCTACGAGGCAACTGTCTGCGAAGGTCGGCGAGCGACCACGTCGAACGAGATGTCGCCGTTCCGTCCGAGGCGAATAGTAACGAACGTTCCTGGGTATAGCGTTCTTATCAATTAACCGTGGCCTTTGAACTCGACGATTTCGATGACCTCACCGACGTCGTCGTTCATCGATACCCGGTCGCTCGTCGACTCGTTCGCGACGTTAGACAGTCGCGCGCCTAATGTGCCGATTAACTTCCGTTTATGCATAATAAATGGCCTTTGAATCGACGGAGGCGAACAACGTATAATAAATTGAGCTAATAAATGAAGATTTCAATGTAAAGTTTAATCGCAGGCTGTAACGTGACATCGTGTTCTCTAACAATTTGTTATTAATTTCTCGTACAAATGGTATAAAAACAGGAAAAAGATTGATATAGAGTGATTTAAAAACGACTTGAGTTTCTTATTTTTAATATTAAATCTATATATCTCAAGCATATTTATTGATTAGATATTTAATACTTGTTTTTTCTGTATTTTTCTTATGCATGCGTTAGATTTTCTACGCATATCTTTAACTCATGCGATCGATTTGAAAGTTAAAGAACTTGATATGTCGATATATAGGGTGTCCAGTTTGGAGCATATTCCTTAAGATGGCACAGCAATCCATTTCCTGAAGAAACGCAATATCTTATTTTGATAAAAATATAATGTTTCTTAAATATAATTTTTTATAATCGAGTCTAAAAATTAATCTAATTATCCGCTTGAAAATTTAATTAAAGTAAGATATTATTTTAAGAGAAATATAACTTTAGAACAGGCTGGAAAAAGACGCTAACTAGCGTCAAAGCTGCGAGCCACTTCTTCGAATCGATAAAATAACATTTGTCGGCAACTAGAATTAACCATTGCATTTATGTTAATTTACGTTTTAAAAAGAATTTAAATAGGTAGTCACATGCTTAGTATTAATTAAAATTTAAAGAGGAAGCAATTATTGCTTGAAATCTCTTTGCCAACAATCGATTTAGTAAATATTTTTCTGGTTAATTATATAATTATGTATGTATATAAATCCCAATTATTGCGAATTTTTATAAAATTATAAATTAATAGTTAATTCGTGTAGTCTTATTTAAATTGCCGATTAAAACAAAAAATTTGTAGAAATTGTTGCTAACATAAAAATTTAATGTAGAACACATTGATAACTTTTAAAACTACATAATTATGTAAATACTAAAATTCGGTGGCATAAAATCATGCTTTTCCAGCCGCATCTGTTTGTAATAATCGTTTTACATGATTCCATCGGAAATATACGAAGCTTTACATTTCGGTTATACATTGCAATTTTGTCATAAGTAATTTTGCGAATCCAATGTATGCCATTATTCCATTTGTTATTGCATGTTATAATACGCATATGAATAAATAAATGTATTAATTAGCTGCTCAAATATACATAAACGAGCGGAAAGAGCGGAAATATATCGATAGCGTCGGATAATCGGCTCTTTTCGTGCATTATTTCTTCGGATCAGCGAACGACAAGTATTCTTGCAAGAAAACAAGTGCGAGAAGAAAAGTGAAATCTTGCGTGACATTTGCGCGTTTATATAAGCTGCTTCAGAAGCGATGGCCGATAATAATTTAGGCCGGATAATATTATTTAAAAAATATTTATTGTAAGAAATGTGTGTGTCAGCTGTCAAAAACAGCAAGAGCCAAAAGCGAAATGGCTTTATTAATTGCTGATTGCAAAGATTGAAAAACTGGTTGCAAAACGTATCATTTAAATAAATGTACCAACGTAATTATTTCTTTCTTTAAACATATATTATGTTGTACTTGACAAGTTCTTTCATTCTATAATATAAATCGCATTAAAATTAAAATTGTTCCCGAAACTTTGTCGTATAGCATTAACAGACTTAAGTTACAGTATTATACGCTCATTGAAATCAAATAAAATCTTCTCAAGAGTGTAAAAATCATATTCAATAAATATAAGACACTTGTTTTCTATTAAACATGCGTTTTTTCTATTAAAAACACATGCGTGAAAGTATATTTTTGTGATTGCGGCGTGAATAATACGGTGGTAATTTCGCAATTTGAGGTATTAACGATACCGTAATTTTTCGAGCGAGCATCGCGAGTTTTCCTCCTGAAACATCCTGTACAAACCTGCGGAAGTAACCGTTCGGAAGCCGCAACCAACGAACGAACGAACGAACGAACGAACCAACGAACGGGCGAATGAGCGAGCGCGAGCGCGCTAAATAATCATAACTCAGAGAGACATTTGTAACGCCAGCCTCTCGCTCGTATTTATCGCTGTTGTTGGACGGTTTGTTGCAGCAATAACGGTAATGGGCCTCCCCCGCCTCCGGCCTCTCGCACTCCCCTCCCTGCGCCTCCACCTCCGCCCCGACCCGGTCTCGCGCGCTCTCTCGCCTCGCCGGCCACCCCTTGCCGAGCGATTTATCCTTGGGTAATTAGCACGGGTAATAATTAATGCGGCCGCGCATTGTGCTAATTATCAGCGAGAGAACCTTTTAAGAAATGAAAGAACATTCGAAATAAAACAGGGCGAGGACGGTAAGGGGGAAGGCGAGGGGGTAGATACGTCGGTAGCGGCGAAGAAGACCAGAAGGAGAGTGTGAGGGTGGAAGAAAACGGACCGAAAAGAGAGGAGGAGGAGGAGGAATGAGGAGAGCTCTCCGCGACAACACGCGTGTTT